TGTGTGTGTGTTGGAGAGATAAAGAAAGAGAGAAGATATAGAGGCTATTTCTTTTCTGTCACTGGGTTGGTGTTGGAGAAAAACCATTGGTGATTTTCAGTAGGAAGTGAGCATTCCCTGGGAAGGTGTCAGTTGTTATGAATTCTCTGAGGGTCATGATTTTTGAAAAATGTCATATCAAAAGGGCAGAGATGAACAGTTCGAATGTTTCTGAAAGTTGGCAAAGTACATTTACCTGAGGACTGTGTCAATTATAAGTATGTGTTCCAGAGTGTCATTACCAAAGTTGGGCATTTGTTTTTAAATGTTAAATTGAGAAAAGACGCCATTTTTTGTTCTTTGATCATCTGTGAAGTCTTATGTATGTTTATTGTGATCATTATTGTGCTTCCTGATATCAATCCTTTATTTTTAAAAGGGAGACTCTACTGTGGTTGGAACAAGTAGGCTCCGTGACTTATACGACAAGTTTGAGGAAGAGCTGGGCAGCAGGCAGGAGAAGGCCAAAGCTGCCAGGCCTCCGTGGGAACCTCCGAAGACCAAGCTCGACGAAGATTTAGGTGTGTCACAGAGTCACTAGACCAAGGCCCTGTACTCTTTCATCATAGCTTAATCATAGACTTTTGGGAAATATCCTTGAGAGTCCTATATTGAAAGTTCCTTTTCATTTTGTTTCCCTTAGTTACAGTCATCTTATTTTTTCTTGGTTACATTCAGGAGAATGCATCAGAGGTCTCATATGCAAATCATGAGAATAAGGGTGTCCCTTGTAGAACGGTCCCCAGTGTTCCTCTGAAAGCAGGAACGTGTGGCCCTCGTTGGTCCTCTTTGTTGCCAGGTACACCTGGTTTGATGAGAATTCAGCAGTGATAGCCCCACCCTGAAGGTTTCTTTCTACTCACATAGACAGTTTCCATAACTTTTTCATATGGTGATCTATTTTGTTCCTGTATATGTTAAATAGACGGTGAGACTTTTGAGGGTGGAAACTGGTTTTTACCACTGTGTCCTTGGCCCCTGACAGCATGGCAGGCCCAGATGAGACACTCTGTGTGCATCTACATGTGTGTTCTCACCTGCCTCCCTTCACTATGTCTTATGTGCTAAGAGACAGTGCCCAGAATGGGTAAGTGACTCAGTAGCCCCGTGGCCTGGGTTTGAATCCCTGCTCCACCTGACATGTGACTTTGGGCAAGTCATCTAATCTCTCTGTGCCTCAGCTTTCCCATCTATAAAGCAGGGAGGGCAGCATCTATTTCATACAGCACACATAAATATAACTCTGTAGGTGTTGGAGTTTATTATTATATGGCTACTTCGTTAATCTCTAATAGGATTAATCTTCTGTGTCTTTTAAAAAAATTTAAAAATACATATAACATAATAAAGTACTAGATAATGGTTCCTGGGTACTGGCTACCATATTTCATAGATTCCAACATTTCTGAAATAGTGTTATTTATAATTAATGATATACCATAATTTGATCATAAATAAGCATCTACCCCCTCTTCCTGGTACATAATGGTGAATCCAGCGATTGGTGGCATCTTGGAATTGATAAAATATCTCCTGTGCAAGACACTGTTCTACGCCCTTCACGACACTACAGGTCCCCCTGACCTGCCAATAGAGCAACACTGTGAGATCAGTTATGACTGTTAGTCTATTTTACTGATGAGGAAACTGTGACAAGGCAGCTAGTTATCAACCATAGTCAGACCTGGTAAATGGAGGATGTCGTGATCTTTATATAAATGATGTACACGGCCTTCTTAGGGCCGTGGTTGGCTTCCTGCTGACTTCCCACATTCATGAACATCCTCAGAGTGAGACCACCCGTCTCCCACAGCCATGGTGGGGATGCATACCCCAAACGTCTTCTCTGGACGAATCATCCCCCTGCTTGGTAGCCCCTGGACAACCCCAAACTGTCTACCTCTTCTTTACGCTTTGTCTGAGTTCTCCCATGTCACTGTCCTTAGGAAGACACAACCACTTTTCTGCTCCCAGTCAGATGACCTCGTAGTCTTCTAGGCTTCATAGTTCATTTCGCTCTAGCTAGCACTGCACATTTAGGAAAGCAGATATTGAGTCCTGTTTGGCTCTGAGCTATGTTCTGCATATTGGCCTGTATGCTCCATCAGTGGTGGGAGCTGCAGCTTATTGGTCTTCGTAAACTGAGGATGAGCACGCAGCAGGACAGACAGTAGTCTCAGCAAGTATTCGGGAAATATACATATCTCTTTTTATGGATTTTGGGTAAAAGTGAAGAGCAGATTTCAGGTGTCTTCAATCTAACCCACTGCTGTGTTCCCACAACCCAGTGCCAGTGGGAGCACATAGGATATAACTTGAAATGTATATTTCAATGTCAATTTTTTAACCTAAAAAGGCAGCGTGTACTGTTGGGGTCTGGTCCCAAGAGCAGCGTCCACTGAGAGCTGTGGAAACTGGCAGCGACCCACTGCAGAAATACAGAGTTAGAAGCAATGGTTAAGAAAGACAAGAGACAGAGTAAAATTCAGAGTGCGAGCTCAGGGGTCCATTGCCTATTGTGGGATTCCGGCAATGACCCAGAACTTTTCATCTTGCAGAGCTGAAATTATACCCACTATACCCATTAAGCAATAACTTCTGAGTCTCCTGTAGCCCTAGGGCATGCCTGGCTATACCATTCTACTTTGGTTTCTATGAATTTGATCATGCCAGGTATCTCATATATGTGGAATCATTCAGTAATTGTCTGTTTGTAGCTGGCTTATTTCAGTTAGCGTAATTCTACATCTTTTTTTTTTTTTTGGAGATAAGGTCTTGCTCTGTTGTCTGGGTTGGTGTGCAGTGGTATCATCATATCTCATAGCACCCTCAAACTCCTGGGCTCAAGGGATCTTCCTGCCTCAGCCTCCCGAGTAGCTGGGGCTCAGGCATGTGTGCACTTGGCTAATTCTTCTAGTTTTTATATGGTTTTTGTTTCACTTTGCCCAGACCTCAAGTGATCTTCCCCCAACAGCCTCCCAGATTGCTAGAATTACAGTTGTGAGCCACCATGCCCAGCATTATGTCGTTTTTATTTGGTCACTTTTAAGGACTGAAATATTCCCTTGCTACTATTGATGGAAAAAATTTTAAATCTTCAACCTTGCATTTTCCTCATTTAGTCTGGCATTGCCCACACTTCCAGCACCTCACCTCTTAGTATTTTTCTGTGGGGCCTGTGCTCCCGCCAGAGTCCATCTGTATCCTACCTCCATGCTTTTGCTACAGCCTTCCCTCTTAACTGTTTTTCTCTTCCCTCTTCATCGGCCTCTTCCCATCCTGCCCCAGTTCCTGGGTCACGTGTACCCCTTCCATGAAGTCATCACTGACCTTTTCGGATCATTGGTGGACCTGACATTTTGTGAATTGCTACAGCTTTTTAAGTGTGGAGCCATGTACCATTACTGTGTTTTTATTTTATCTGGCATTCGTTAAGTCTTATTTTCTCTGTAAAAATATTTGTTTTCTTTGCTTCCCCAACTAGATTGTGACTGCATTATGGGCTGTATAGTTTTCACGGTGTTGGTTAGCAGAGGGTTTGGTGCAGAGTAGGCCCTCAAGTATTTGCTGGAAGAATAAACAACTGTCCTTATACTTAGAGGTTTAAGTCATTTGGAAGTCTCCACAAATACCCAGTTTGTTAATTTTCCCATCTACTCATGTTTTTCCCTCATCCTCCATTAGAGAGTTCCAGTGAATCTGAGTGTGAGTCTGATGAGGACAGCACCTGTTCCAGTAGCTCGGACTCGGAAGTGTTTGACGTTATTGCAGAAATCAAACGGAAGAAGGCCCACCCTGACCGGCTTCATGATGAGCTCTGGTACAATGACCCAGGCCAGGTGCGTGTGTTTTTGTGCATCACATTTATGGCCCTAGGCTCAGAAGATGCATGTTAGCTGGTATGGAAACTGAATTTGACTCTATCAAATTCAGGTTGGGTCATTCTTCAGAGCTATTTCTTTTCAGCATCAGAATTCAGTTCAGAGCATCTGTTTCTCGAATCATATATGATAATGTTTGTAAATTTTGTGTTGAAGAGCAAGGTAAGGGTGGTAACTCATTAAATTTGCAATAGACAAAAGGACACAAATGGTAGGATGAGAGAGAACTTGCAGGTCTTTTTAAAAACAGTTCACCTGAAAGGTATCTTGCTGCAAAATAGTAAACAAGTCCTATAAAATGTCACTGTTTTTAGTTGTAACAGTCACAAGTCCTTGTACGTTCTCTTCCTTGTTAAGTGTGTTTGAGCTGATGATGTAATAGCTAGGCATAATCATTTTTATTTTTAATTACTGTTTTATGAAGTATTACATAATAAAAACAGTATCTTTATAAAAGATTTATATCTGACATACAATATATACTAAATAGTATCTTTAATGAGTATGTTATTAAGCATAATAAATCATATGCCTATAAAGTAATTTAAAATTTATATTTTGTGAATAAATTATGCCTTCACATATTTATTAGAATGCTCCTCTTTTGGTTCTTGTTAAATGACAGTGATCTACATTTTTTTTTTTTTTTTTT